CCTGGGAAGAGAAGGTGTGAATCGAAATTTTATCACAAATTCTTGAAAACAATTGACAAAATAGTTAAGGCATTCGCGGTTTCCCTGACACGAATGGCTAGCTTCTTCAGAGGTTTATACATTTTGGATTACTATCCGAGACTAATCCAGAATATATAAACCTCTGGAGCAGTTTCGCGCCAGCGAAACGACAGGAAGAAATTCCAAAAATCCACTGCCTTCGAACCCGAAATGACACAAATTTGTTACGTCAAACAGAACTAGAGAAGGAAAACTTCAGTAGCAATTTTGATTGTTGGGACTATATTTCTCATTTCTATATAAAACTGTTTCCAATTTCTTCAGCTGATCAGTTCGGCTGAAGACCCATTTACGACCATTCAAAAAGTTTTTCGATAAATTTTCAACAACCGTTTCAACTCTTGTTGTAATGTAAAACGAATGGTTAGTTGAGTTTCACTTACCTCATACTACCGGGTGATTCTCTAAGGTGGCTCACCCCTATAACTTTTTCATTATTGGAGATAGAAAAACGAAATTTAGAAGTTGTGTATTATAGTTCAATTTACATTTTTTGATACATTTTTTTTTCTTTACCGTACTTCCGGTTTGACCGAAAAAAAACCCAACTTTCGATTTTTAAATGGGACATCTTATATATTTCTACTCATTTCGATCGAGATTGACATTTTGAATGCAACAGTACTTCATTTGTCAATATTTGACAAACAAAATCATTTCTATTCCAATTTTTATTTTTTGATCTAGAATGCCATGGCTCGTGTAAATCGCTTCATTATTGATCAAGTAACATGGGAAAACTACGACTTTGAGGCTCATGACTTCACAGTCGTGTTAAGAATTATTTTACAGTCGCAAATATGCATTTTTCCAGTTAACTTGATTTACAAATGGAAAGTGGGTGGCTCGTTGGCTTTTTGTGAAAGATAATTTTCTTAGGAATAATTTGATGCCACACACTTTCACTTTATCTTCTCTATTTTTTTGAATAACTGCAAGAAACGATCCTATCTAATAACAAATAATACTTATTTGGTAGATATACTTATACAGTATATCTCTTGTAACAAGTTTCAATAAGATATTCGAGAAAGCACTGAATTCGAGGATAACTTCATACATTAATGAATATAGGCTTATTTCTTGCAAACAATATGGATTTAGAAAAGGTCTCTCAACTAATGATGCAATTGCTGCACTAACAGGGGAAAAAAACGGACACATAGATCAGAGACGGCTGGCATTATGTGTATTTTCAGACTTAGCAAAAGCTTTCGACACTGTTGACCACGATCAGTTGTTGGAGGTATTGAATAAATCAGGAATACGAGGCAAAACACAACTACTTTTCAGAAGTTATTTGAATAGCAGAAGGCAAATAGTGAAAGTAAACAATACTCTCAGTTCTGAAAGAGAAATTAGTTATGGTATACCACAGGGTACTGTGATTGGACCTACATTATTTTCATTATATATCAACAGCCTACTCACAATGAAGATAGATGGTTCCATTTCCAAATTAATATATTGAAATACCGGTTTGATCATAAGTCACTCACAATCAATTTTGAAAAAACAAAATTTCTACCCTTTGCAAGGTACGAAAATCAACTACCCAACTATAATGAATTAATAATAAATAACCACGGAAAAAAAATAGAAGCCCTAAGAACAGACCATATTAAATACCTGGGAGTCACAATTGACTCACATATCAGATGGAATGAACATATTGAAGAAATAACTAAATCATTGAGATGTTTATTGTATAAATTCAAGTACTTGAGATCCGTTCTCGATGTACGACAGTTATATATGTATAATATAATATTGTATATCTTCAAAAATAAAACATCTCTTCAGCAAATCGGTCATGATTATAATACTCGCACTAAAACAAAAGGTAATGTACAGCTAAACGCAACAAAAAAGTCAATTGGGCAACACTCTTACAAATACCACAGTGCAAAAATTTTTAATTACTTACCTGATCTGTACAAAACATACATTCATAAAATAAATAATATTAACACGATGAAAACCATCTTCAAAAAGTATGTATATAATACTAATAGAGATATTGTTCATGATATACTCATGAATAAATAAATAATCCTCGTTTGTACTGTAAAATGAAATACCTACGTTGTCATTGTTCATTCATACTCGTTTACTGCTAAATGTATTTTCATTTATATATAACATACCTTTCTTTTTAAAAAATTAATCATTCATTTGTGTCCTTCAGTCTTAGTTTAATATTAAATTTTTGGCATCGCCCTACTTAAATGTAAAATCAATTCTGCACATCAGCTATGCATTGCGCAACTAAAGAATTCCCACCCACAATTTCGGTTTTAGTGGGTTTATCTCTGTTTGTTTGTATTGCTTTGTTTACATGTGCTGTTATATATTTACAAATACACATTATCATTATTATTATTATTATACACTAAGTCCTGTTATCCTAGTTATCCGTGACAAACAATTGAAGTTGTTGCTAGGACTACCTAAACAAATAGGCTAATGAATATGCTGTCACTTTCAAAAATGTATTTGTTGTGTAGTTTATAATTTGATATTGCAAATTATACTAGAAACGAAAAAATTGATATGTTGCTAATTTACGGAGAACCAAAAAAGAATGCAACTGATGCAGTTCGAATTTATGCTCAGAGGTTCCCTAATCGTCGCTATCCCACTCGGCATTATTTTCCAAAACTGGAAAGAAAAATGCGAACTGAACCAGAAGAAAATGCCAATAACTTCATCGTTAGTTAAGAAAAATAAGTGTACATGTTGGCCTATGAAGAAGTGAATTGTACGCCGTCAATTCGCAAAATTGTTTCTGAGTGTGATATAAGTTATTCGTCTGTTTGGAGAATTCTTCACAAATATAATTATCGATCATTCAAGTACCAACTACACCAACATCTTCACGATAACGATCACAACCAAAGATTTTTGACTAAATACAGAGAAAATGTACGTTTTTCATTTAAAATTAATTATTCAGATGAAACCCGAATCACCAACTTGGGTATGTTCAATAGGAATAATAAAAGGTACTGGTCTCAAACAAATTTACATCAGAAGAAGGAAATCTTCAAGAGCGATTTGGTTTCCATTGCTGGATGAGTATTATCGGAGGAAAACTTTTGGGGCCAATAATTTTCGACGGACAACTGACTGCGAAAAGATATCTACAGTTCCTTAGAAATCACAATAATGATTTCCTTGAAGATTTGCCATAGGCTAACCAAGTTGATATCTATTTTCAACAAGATGGATCGCCACCTCACAATTCTCAAGTCGTAAGAGAACATCTGAATGACACCTTCCCAGAAAAGTGGATTGGTACTTATGGACCTATTCAGTGGCCTGCGAGGTATATTCTTGAGTTGTCATATTTTTACATAAATGTATTTTTCATATTCTAGATCACCAGATCTTACTCCGCTAGATTTTTCCTCTGGGAAAAAATTAAAAATTAGGTTTATAATACAACATCAGCTACTCGTGAAGAACTAGAGCATGAAGTAAGGTTGACATTTCAGAACATCACTGAGGAACAGCTAATCAATGTAATGCGCACAACAACTGTAAAAGTTGAACTTTGCCGTGATGAAGGAGGAGGCCATTTTGAAAATGTATAACCTTAATGGACTAATTTGCAACTTTCTTGTAATTATTCAGAATAGAATTATTCAGAAGAATAGAAAAAAATAAAGTGAAAGTGTGTGACATCAAATTGGTAAGAAAATGATCTTTTCCATTAGAGACAATTAAGTTAACTGGAAAAATTCATATTTGGGACTGTGAAATAATTCTTAAAACGACTGTGAAGTCATAAGCTTCAAAGTCGTAGTTTTCCCATGTTACTTGATCAAGAATGAAGCGATTTACATGATCCATGGCATTCTAGATCGAAATATAAAAATTGGAATAAACATGATTTTATTTGTCAAATATTGACAAGTGAAGTATTGTTGGATTTAAAATGTCATTCTCGATCCAAATAAGTAAAAATATATAGGATGTCCTATTCAAAAATCGAAAGTTGGGGTCATTTCTGGTCAAACCGGAAGTACGGCGAAGCAAGTAAATATGTCAAAAAATGTAAATTGAACTATAAATGAATAAATATATGGTAAATATAACAGTTAACCCACAAAAGAATATATCCTTGTGCGTGGGCACATCGAAGGTAAGTTAAAAATTCCGGCTTGGATCTGGGTACGTACAATTCAAAAAGCACATTAGCCATTGCGTACAAATAGTATTCTGTTTGTTCATTGACATTTCTCTATCCACGAAAGCATCACGCGAAATGAAGATGAGCTATTTGAGATTATTTTCTGTGATGTCGTGTATGTTTGGATCACATTGTTTTGAATCACATAGAAAAAATCAGAAGAATTTTTCATCAAATGGAAATTTCACCTTCATTCATCACCTAATAAAATCATTATTTTCAAGCAGTGTTTATCCTAGCTCATGAAATGAAATGTGGAGATCACTTTAATGATTTGAACCTTCATTTTTTTTCCAAAAGATACACATGAGTGTACTAACATTGTTTTTATTTTGTATGAGTGTAGGTACTTGGGGCAGAACAACATTATTTTGGACTGTTTTCAGCTTTTGTTCGTATTATTTTCAATCTGTAAACTCCCCTTAACGAAGATCAATATATACCACTTTTCAATAATGTCAATAATGACTATTAAACTATAAATGAGTAATTTTATAGCTATGATCCACCGCTATGAATCTTTATTAATCTCTCGAAATATATTCACGCTTGTTGTCACATTGCCGTTATACATTATTTCTAATGTCCCTATAATGTTCACTCATAAAACTACCATGGTGCATTATCATGAAATGTCTGGGTGTATTTCAGAATATTTCTGATTTATATTGAAATTTATCTGAGGGTGAATTCAATAGCAATGGTCTGGAAATGAAACACATTCAATAGGCCAATTAATATAATTAATATTGACAGAATTGTGAATGTTGTACCCTCTTCACATATACGTACATATAGAAACGTTAAATATACATATTTCAACTACTAGTATTCTATAGGTTATCCAGTACATATCCACTTTTATCCGAAACAGTACCTCCTTCATGGCGTTACATCTATACATAGATACATAATTACAATATGATATATAAGAATAATCTGGTTCGAGCCGAACATGCAAACACACTGAAGATGTGGCTGGATAAACCCTCAGTAAGTATGCAGCTGGCATTGGGCATACAAGAAATACCGAAAAATTTCGATTAGTCATCACGCAGATTTCTGTCTACTTTTTGTATGCCCCTCGTGATATAATTCAACCATTTCTCAATAATCCGGAATCGTTGTCTTGAATGCAAGTACTGAAAAGGGGTTTAGAACTGAAAAATCGATTACCGGTTTTTCTTCTTTTTTTTTAATTTTTATCTGTTGTTAGAATTGCAATGTGATAGAAAATAATTCAAAAATTTTGCCAATATCGTCAGCCAAGATCATGCAGTGGTCTGCTTCGTGAGCGTCAAGCCTACCCCCAAAAAGCACAGTACAAAAATCAGTCCTTTAGGGGAAACCTAGGAAGGAAATGGGCGGCAGGTTTGACACCCCTGACGCTTTTCTTATAATTCAGTGATAACAATGGGAGTGTTCAGTATCGATTTGTTTTTTGAGAAAACATAAGAAAATAATCAAATAACCTTTAAGTGGGTTGTGATACCGTACTCTCCAATCGTCACCCCAATCTGCCGAGGCATCGTTCAGATTTTAACCCCATTTCTGGAAAAGTCCCATCCTTTGACACCTGCAGTTGGATCCCCATAGGTTGCACCTACAGGAGCTGTTGTAGCAGCAGTCATTCGGTCTGTGGTCGCAGTTTCCTCCTCTCCTGACGCATGCTCTTCTGAAAAGGTAAATTAAGGAGGAACGTCTGTAATGAAAATTAGAAATCACTTTACAACCACTTCTCAAAGGCTCTACACTGATCTAGGTCGTTCAAGCATCTCAGATGAAAGCTTCGTGGTTACATTCAGAGCACGTGACAAATTTTTCATGGTGTCTCCTACTTTCTGACAAAGACAAATATATGCTCAAAATTCCATAAAATTATCTGCTGGCGGAATTATTTCCATGAGGTTGAAAGCAGTATCATTAGTATTTTCGCAGTATCATTGGTCTATTTTTGTCAATGTCATGGAATGTCTTTTTATTTCAATAAAGAGAAACAAATTAAGTCAGAAATGGGCAACTTTTTCCTAATTTAACGATTTTGTATTTCTCATAGATTCAGACTTTTCTATGCTGGCCCTTCTAACTCCTTCTGAGAAGTAGCCCTCCATTAATCCAAATATTACTCCCATTGAATATGTTTCAGTTCCTCACAGCAAACATTTCACTCCTGAACTATTCAAGCTATGAATCCAATTTTTCTGAAGTAATCTCAATAATGTGTCAATCTGAGATAGTATACTTATATTGGTCAAACATGCAAGATACTAATAAGCCGTAATACTCTTCATTAGAGTGAATGCAGGTTAGCTTACGGAGATGAGCCTTGAGTTAGCATATAAATGGGACAAGACACTGAAGGAATATCAATAATACTACAATTTCAACTGAGGAACATGATACTGCAAAACGGTTGTTTTTCGAAATGGTCTTTATCTCTCAGTCGGGACATTGTTTGAATGAAAAACTGATTCGAATCACTTGAGTGGAACCTAGTCATTTCTCTTGTCATAAAATGAAAATCCTCACATTGTGCATAACTTTTTAGCAGATAACATCCTATAATTTTGAGGTATTTTCCTTTCCAGTAACTTTAGTGTGATTTTTCAAGTAGGATATTTCTTCTTTGAAACAAATAATTTTCAAATATCACATCGTTTTCTCTAATCTCAATGATGAAGATTGCAATAGTGGTTGCAAAACGTAAATAACTCTCATGTATCAAGAATTTTGAATTTTTGTAATGCTTCACACAAAAACTCTTGTTGTCAGATCCTCAAAGACGCCACTGATGGTGCATCCAATTCACCCTAGCACTCTGAATATGCTTAAAGATTACTTCCGCATAGTGACTTTCTGTAATTGCTGAAATGCTTGAACGACTGGTAAGGAACAACAACGTTCAACTCTACTCTGGCATGTGTCTAATTGTGCCGGACGGAAATCTGCCTGTGATGGGATAGTGTACAAGTTTGCGTTCCGTGGGAAAATTACTGTTTACTCTAATTGTGAAAATTGTCTAGAATCGGGAAAACACAGTTGTTTCATCAGGATTAATTCAAACGTATTGTATGTGTAGGCCGAAAGCCTTCAATTGACACCCTAATTTGATCATTCATTCAGTAGGGTGGGTGACCTTTCATACATGAATGTTCCTAATAATATAATGTTGATTATAATAAATGGTAAAAGTGGAACCTCTGGCGTAGAATAAATCCAAAACAAACACTTTTTCTCCAATCATCATTCATACAATACTCTTCTCGATGCGCGTTTAACCAACCAAGTTGACGACTTCAGGAAAAAAAAATCATCTGAAGACGCCAACTTGGTTGGTGAAACGAACGTCGAGACGAGTACTAAATTTCTAGTGATTGAGAAAAGTGCTTGATAATAATAATGAATAATCTTGCGACTGCCATCTTTCAATGGTCCACCCCTGAAGGGTGGACCGTTCTTATCCCCAAGAACAGAGATTTGTTGGTTCAGTATAGACTGATAACATGTTTGAAGGCTGGCTATAAGGAGAACCTGTTCGACCTGGATCGATTACCGTAAGACATTTGATGCAACATCCCATGAACCTATTCTACATTTGCTTAGATGCCTTGCGGTACACGACAAAATGGTGAGATGCCTTGAACAACTGATACCACTCTGAAAGACTCGCTTCACCATAACGTCCGGTCAAGCTAGGGTCTGAACAAAGTGGGCCACTTTGGGTGGGCATTTTAGGGTTATTTTCTGTCTTCTGCTTTTCTGCATTATCCTTTGCACTCAGAAATACTCGAGGGTACAACTATGGCATCCCCGGAAACCGCAGGCATAAGGACATCCATTTGCTTCATACGAAAGATCTTGAAGTTCATGTGTCTGGAATAAAAGGATCTCCATCAATCCTCAAGGGTGGTGAACGGTTCATCTCAAAAGAGGATGATGCGGGGATTACGAAGAAGATGTACAGCTTGTAGACGGCAGCATCCTGCACCATCTGGATTAAGGATATACGATTACTCATCTTGGGAGGGGGCAAGTTTGGAACGACTTTTGATGGTTTGCTTAGTTTGACCTATATTTTTTATCACAGTTTCCACAACTCATTTCATATACCCCTGACTTTCCATCAATGTATCGGTCAGACTAAGCAAGCCATTGAAACTCGTTTCAAAGAACATATCGCACATATCCGTTTTCGGAGACAAAAACAATTTAGTGTCGCCCAATATGCCTTGTAGAATGGTTTGTCTCTGCCATCTGACCTGACCTCACCGTGTTAAGCAATCGGTTTCGTTTCAGATCGGGATTTATTTGGACGAATTTGAATAGTTCTGAGCTACAACGGAACCTTTCGGGTTGATTTCAATCGTATTCTGAGAGTAGTATGTTTTGATGATTAAGTTGTTATATACATTCTTTGTTTCGAAAACCAATTTTATATATGAAGCGAAAGCGAATTTTGATAGGTGTGATCTCTCATTTGACTAGTTGTGAAGTTACAATGATCTTCTGTATTCCAAGATTCAACAATTTGGTGCAGAATACCTAATTCAGATTAAAAGATGGTCAAAACTTTTCATTGAAAGAATTTTTGATAACTAAGGGCGATGATATCTCTCCTTACGAAGACACATTCTATGAGATTGACAAAAATTCAATCCACGAATATCAAAAATGAACGAGCCTCCACATGGCGTTTAGTTACGGAAACGAGCAACGACATTGACCACCGACAAGACTCGTCTTCTGTTTTTTACTGTAGCACTGCAAGGCAACTAGTTGATGACAAGACACCAAACACAACACATTCATGATTAAACACCAGACAGTGCTGTTTTTTCGACCCATCATAAGTTCCATCAGTGGTGCTAGGCTGAACCACGAATGCATTGCTGGATTCAACTGTCCTTAAAAAGCAACACTACTGATGACACCTACGACGGGTCGAAACAGCGATGTCGGGTGTTGAATCAGAAATGCTTTGTGTTACGGCTCTGTTTTCAACCAATTTTTGTTTTCGTAGTTTTTCAGAAAAAAATTAGTCAATGATTCCTTGTAATAGTTATTGACAGTCGTTTGTTTAATGGAATCCGTTCTTCTTAAGAATCACTTTCAATCATCAGTTCATCAGTAACAAACAGCCCAACAGCAACTCCGGAACTGAAATACCATTCGGAGATATAAAACCACCTCTTACCGCTCAGGAAATTCCATTAGTTGAAACAAGACAGTGTTGATTCAATACTAATCAGGGTCACCGCCAATCCCCAGGAATTCTAATGTTCTACTGTCGGTTCCCGTCTCCACAATACTTGATTCGCATGAAAACGGCATTCTGCGCGACGAAACCTGAATAATTTTGTTAAGTGGGAATTCATGGAAGTTCGACCGACTGAGCAAAATACCATCATCATATAAATGAACGAACACTTATTTAATTTTATTGGGATATCAACATTGGTGTTTCTGACAAACAGAGTTTCCGTTGAATGTCACGATAACATTTCATTTCACCTTCAGGAACAAGAACTAAGCCGATTAATAATAAGATAGAGAGTTTTGAAGATCGCATTAATAAAGCAACTATTATCCTGGCTGAACAGTAGTAGACAATGCCTGATATTGTATTTTCACATTGTTGAATAAAACGATTGCTGAAGTAGTTAAACACAAACACGAAGATATCTTTTGATTCTGACACAAAGAAAACGGGATTTTTCTCTTTGTTGGAAGACTATTCTTGTTCAACCTATAACTAAAAAGGATGAGCAGGTGATTTACCAGATTTGTCGAAAAAAGCTGAAGGAAGGTATGAATCCACATATGTTTACCCAAGATTACTTCAAGTTTACTTCAGGGATTTCTGACTGTCCAAAAAAGTTTAACTCGAGGCATGTTGAAAAATATAGACGTGTTCAAAGTGAGGCGGGTTAGCCACAGAAAGGTGGCTATACTGAATATTTGACAGTCTCGGATTTTTGAAGTCGATATAACTTTGATAAATATCACTTTCACATTTTTTTTACTTACACATTTTATTTACTTACACAACTTCTTGAATTTTTTTCAGCTGTATTCATGCATCTTCATGAGAAATATATTTTCTCATGTGATGATTCAATGCAACTGCAATAATATCAAAGAGATGATTTGGACTCAAATGTCTTGAACATATACAGTAGCCTCATTTCATATTCAAAAATAATACCAACATTTAAGAGAAAATTCAATTTGAGAAGGAATGTATAAAGGAATAAATCTAACAATGTAATGAGTTGTTTAACTAATTCCTATTTAAGCCTTAGTAGTGGTGTAACTGAAGGGACTTTTTATTGAACTTCATTTACTTTCATGTTTTTTGTGAAGTTACTATTGATTCCTTCTGTATCTGGATTTTATTACCAATTTTATCGTGATTTGATGAATTCATTGCCTATTTCTGCTAGTGATACCACTTCAATTGGAGAAACCTGCATTGAAAATATTTTTCCCTAGTTCTGGCGAGAGCAAACAATAATTGAAATAGATATAAACCTAGCGGTGAAAGTTTCATATAAAATGAATGGAAAATGCTTCTTCTCTTACACTTCAATTTGTACTTTTTCTTTGTTTATAACCGTCGAATGAGCTACACTATAACATTTTTTTTTGATTTGATGAAACAACTGTACTTTTTCATAAGCACACTTCTAATCACTTTCATTCAGATTTCCGTTTCATCTCGATGATTAGTGGAGTAACAATTAGGTTACTTTGACATAGTGGTTATAGAGCGATATCTAATGTTCCTAGGACGTATGCATGTTCTATTTTTCCACAAGCAACTAACTAAACACATGAAACAAAGAAGCGTATAACGGAAATGAAAATGCTCTTCGTTTCTCTAAAAGCACAGACCTCAAGAAAATGACATTCATTCATTTCCACTCCATTGGCAATAATTTTCCTTCTAAGAAGTGGACGACAAATTTTTATGCATGATGGACAGTAGTCTGTCTTTGAGAAGGTGAATGAAAAAAATATACTGTATCAGAGTTCGAAATGCCTAGAATGTGAATACATTTTCTTGAAGTCTGTCGAAAGTTACAAAATAGGCATGGCTTTTCGGTTGAATTTCAATTTCTGCAAGATTTTGTATGTCAGTTACTTACTTAACAAGTTCGAGAAAAATATATATTCAATAAATATCAAGAAATCTCACAACTTGAAAGTTTATTGCAAATGATTGTCAAAAAACAACTCTATTCTAATCTAATAACATAACAGATATTGCCTTACTTTCTGCGAAAACGGCAGTTATGATTCATCAAATTAAGTGACTATCACAATTTTCAAATCGGGTTGGGAGAATGAACAAAGACAGTGTTGAAACTTGGACAATCTGATGTTTCCTTTGACATTTAGAATAATTACACAGAATTTCGATTTCAATATGATGCTTCTTTCTTTTTGTTATTTTTTCACTATTTGGGACACAAAAACGATAGTTTCCTGGTCGCTAATGAATAATTTACTCCACCATATGGTTGTGTTTTTTGTCTAATCTGCCTTGTCTTACGCCAAAACACTCTGGAACCAGTCATTAGGTGATCCAATAAAATGATTGTGACCGTGCTGCTCCACAACAAGAACCAATAGATATGTTATCTTGTAGGAAACCTTACAGATATGCCTATAGAATATAACAGCGAGTAGTGGCTAACTGTTTTCTCCCAGATACTTGAAAGTGTATTCTTTTTCTTTTTGGAAAACCGATGCTTGCAGATATTTCTCTTTATTTCATTCATGAATACATATACCAGGAAAAACATTGTATGACATTTTTGGAATTGCTCAAAGTAGATAATTCAAAGAAATATGTTTTTCTAAAAAATTGACATTGATTTTTCAAATACGTTGATAATACATATTTTACATGACTAATTAATGGTATTCCAACTACATGACGTGACATATAAAATATAAGCCTCAAATATTACTTTCGATTCACGCTTTCTCACGAGAGTGATCGTGAACAAATTCTCGATAAAGATGGTGTACCCAACATAGTTTTTGATAATATCGTGGTATAAACCCACCAATAACTGCTCATTACTAGATAATTTGTATTCAAATGAATCATAGAGAGTCCAGCAATGCATTTGTAGTTCAGCCTAGCACCATAAATACCAGGGCTATCTGATATTGGATCATGAAGTCATTGTATTTCAGCTCTGGTTTTCTCAGCAAGTGGGCTTGCAGTGAAAGTTGCAGTGACAGACAAATCTCGTCTGCAGTCGATATCGAAGCTTGGCTCTGCAACTGACCTACTTGGGAAGCTTAATTTGTCTTTTATATTCGCGACTTGAGTTCTCTGTCAATCCCATAGATGGCGTCTTCATAAGGGTATATTTCATCCCTCTAGCTCTCTCAGGGTTGTCCTCAAAAGAGAATTGAGATCAGCAATGCATTTGTGGTTCAGTCTAGCACCACTGATGAGACCTATGGCGGATTAGAACAGCGCTATATGGTGTTGGTTATACTGATTTTATGATTATTTCATGGATGCCAGATTTAATAATAATAATAATACGTCTTTATTCACCATAAAATTACAAATGGAATAGACAAAAATAAAATGAAACAGAATACAGGAACAATAACAAAAACAAAGAAAAAAAAACTTCCAGTATATGGTGAATAGGCGGAGTATCAGCCAAGGCTGTTTTTCAACTCAGCCTGGGAGAAACTATAGATAAATAATATGAACACAAGTCGAGTTAACAATATCAAAAAATTTTACTAATTGCTTTACTTTAGAAAATTCATTTTAGAAATGCCAAGCTCGGGAACCGACAAGAGGCTACTGAGATAAATAAGTCTTCAGTCTTTTTTTTAAGTTTACGATGGTGTATGATCGAAATTCGCAGGGTAGTTTATTATAATATTTGGGTGCATTATACGAGAAGCAGCGGGTGAAGATGGAAGATTTGTGTTTGGGGATGACTAGAACTGAACTGTTCCTTGTAGTAAAGCTGTTAATCGTAAAGAATGTTTTAAGCTTCTTCAGTAAGTAATCAGGTTGTCGAGTAATCAAAACTACATGTGTGTTGATAACAAGGTGTAGAGTTCTAAGTTTCTCAACATTTAACCATCCTGATTCTTGCATTGCTGGGGATATATGGTCATATTTCCGAATACCAAACGAGAAACGTAGACAGCTATTCTGAATACGCTGTAGTCGGAGAGCATCCGATTGTTTCAAAGCAGGTCCATAAATACTGTCGCAATAGGAAATTTTTGACATAATCAGAGACTCGCATAGTCATAGTTTCAAGTTTGTGTTGAGCAAATCACGATTAGGAAAAAGCTGTCTGAGAACCTTATAAGAAGATTGGTTCAGATAGCTGACATGTTTAGTAAAGCGAAGATCCAGATCAAATCACAATCCTAAATTTTTTATCTCGTCCACTGCTATCCGAGAAAAACCGAAGCGGACAAGTTTGTCACACAATATCTCATGATCTAGAGTGTCAAATGCCTTGCTGTAATCTAGAAGTATCAAACAGGTCAAATTTTGTTCATCTGCTGCTTGAAAAATATCGTCAGTAATTGACAGAAGAGCCGTGGTGGTACTATGCTGAGGTCTGAATCCTGATTGTACAGATGTTATAATATGATTTTCATTGACGTACTCATTAATCTGATTTTTCAGAATCGATTCTACTACTTTAGAGAGATACGGTAGAATTGTAATTGGTCTTAGGTCAGAAAGGACAGTAGATGAGTTACACTTAGCCAGAGGGATAACCAATCCATCCTTCCAACATTTTGGAAATTGGCTACTGGTAATGATAAAGTTTATGGGAAAGGTGAAGTGATTTATCAAAAAAGAGTCAATGAGATTGATCATTTTGAGGGATATCCCGTCAGAACCCAAAGCGTTGCTCTCGATGCGTCTCAGGGAACTTCGCACAATCTCACAGGTGACTGAGGTGAAGTGAAAGGAGTTTTCAGTTTCTTCCAAATCCAAGATCTGATAGGTTGAGGTATGGAGTTGAAGTACTGGTTAATTAGATTGACGTCTTTTGATTCATCAGGGATATCTGATTTTTTTTGTTCCTCAGGATATCAAGCGTTCTTAAGGTACTCCAAGTTGCTTTGGAATTTTTATTTCTTAAAACAAAGTCCAGATATGTTCTTTTCTCACGTCGTATCGCACTACATGTATAATTTCTGCGGTCCTTATTGCTATTCCAATCGGCGATAGATGAAGATTTCTTGTATTTACTCAGAGCTCGGTTTTTGAATGCAATCATCATTTTTATATTGTAAGTTAACCAAGGTGCTGGGGGTTTAGTTACTCTCTTCGTTTGAGAAAGGGCGTGTTTTTCGAAAAGATTAAGAATGTTGTCGTTCAGGAAGGAGACCATACAATCCACGTTATCGAATTGATAGATGAGATCCCACTGAATATTCAGGACGTGTAAACGGAATAGATCGAATTCGAAGTTACGCTAATCGCGAAAAGAAACCATTTTAACTCTTCTAGAAGAAACAGAAGCATTAATTTTACACATCACTGGCATATGGTCTGCAATTCCCTGGATATCATATACATCCACATCTAATATTCTTTCCTTATCAGAGACAAGGACGATGTCAATAAGGGATTGAGAGTGAGCAGTTATTCGGGTAGGCTTCTCTATAAGCTGATAAAGATCGAACGAATTTATAAAATCTGTAAGGAGTTGAGAACGCCGGTCATGAGTTAACAGGTTGATAATAATATGAACAATTTTTTTTATTGTTTATATATGCCCGAATATGCCATATTGATCGGAAGCAAGAATTTGTCTTTTTCCCCTATTATAGACATAGATAATGTGCAGTATGAAATTCAACAGAAAAAGCTCCTCTCATAAAAGGAGAACCAACAAAAATATGCTTACACCAAAACTCATATCACTCAATAGGGTCTAATGGTGCATCAATCTGCACTACTATCCAACATTCATAAAGTAATTATTTGTCGTTTCATCCTGCTTATTCAGTCGCAAATTGAATTCTAAATTACCCATCACAGCCCTTTCAAGGGAACAAAGAAGCGTTAACTCAGACCCCATTAAATGAAAATAAAACCAGTGCACTTACTTCTGAGCTGACTGAAGTAGACGGTCAATAGCATTTTCCTGGTAGTCGTCCTCCCCTGGTAAATAATTTTCATCTGAAACAAAAATTCAACTCCTCAGACTCAACTATATGTAATGTGAATCAAGATTTTCATAGACTTGGTTTCGAGTGATATTTATAGTGATTGTGGGTGGGCATGAAGGAAGTTCAAAGAAATTTGAAAAGATTGAATATTCTCAACAAAACAAATACAAAACTATAGTAGTGAAGTGACGTAATATGTTTATATTGAATGGAATATTTTTTATAAAATAATCCCTATAATAGTTATGAATATATCTATTTGAATATCTTAAATGCATTCGAAAATTTTTGTAATATTCCACGTATGAGGGACTTCACTTGCAATGACACGGTCGCGACTTCCCATCTAGCTGAAAATTCGAACTCTGCAGGAACTACAGCATTGTCTGGCAAAAAATTAAAACGAAAAACATACCAATATCTCAACTTTTGGTGTTTAGGGCCCGGAGTCTCTGTTATTCGTTTAAGAACTCGGGAAAAGAATATGCCAAGCAACGAAAGATTACCGTTCTACTACTTTTTTTGATAGAAAGAATCAGTATTGCTATTCAACGAGGTAATGCTTATTCGGCCTTAGGAACCATTCCTCCCTTCACATGATTTTGATGAGATCATGCATTACCTTCAATTCAGTATGGAACTAAAATATCTTCGAAACAAGCCGAAATATGTGTATATTCATCAGTCTTCTATCAAAGTTAACTCGCAAGTGAATGATCCACCTTCTTCTTTTTCAGTGCGGTCAATGGACCTAGGTCATTCCGGCTCCCCAAATATGAGCTGCAGTCCTCGTGGTTCTGGTTACCTTTCAGTGGGAGAGCAAGATATGGATAGATCCCTCTACGAAACCCTTCTCATCACTTGGAAGGATCGATTGCAGCTTGAGAAATGGTTCTCATACAGATTCTGTGAAACATGTTTTTCCTTACGAATCAGTAGACAGTTGTCCTAAATATCTTGAGAAGAAAATTGGATTAGATAATTCAGGAAACACTTGCTACATGGTTAACATTTCAGAAGTGTTGTTCTTGACGAAGAATTTCAAGAACAAGGTGTTAACGATGAACGAGAACGAGAATGTTTCCTACTTATTCACCAAACTCAAACAATTGTTCATGCAGTTGCAGTTTCGTAAGAATGTATCATCTTTCCCACCAATTGATTTCCTGGAGTCTTTGAAGTCCACTAGATACTCGTTAGGACAACAAGAGGATTGCTTCGAATTCTTGAGGTTCTTCTTGAATACTCTTCGTGAGCAAAAAAATAGCAGAATCAATACTTCTGACCGCTCTGGATTGAATGATTTCGTACAGTCTATCTTGTCTTGTCTTTGTAGATCTTTTGCTGGAAAAATCTTCACTTGTTTACTTTCTGGTAAATGTTCAAGAGGTAGCAAAAACGTATGTGGTTTTCTAAAACTTCAACTAGCGTTTCCTAATATTACTGATAAACCAGTCCGTGCAAATCTTATTGTTGAATCATCTGAAAATGTAACTTTTAACGGGTGATGATCAACTGTATTGCCAAACATGCGCCAAACTAACTGACTATTATAAAAAAACAAGTATAGCTGAGGCTCCAGTCAACCTAATATTAACACTGATGATCTTCAAAAATGACTCAACCTCTGACGGAAGCACCAAACTCTTACGAAGGTTTGAAACAGATAAACACTTCAATGTAGCAGATCACTATTATAATCTTCATGCATCCATTGTTTCTGTGGTTCTGGCGTTGAATCTGGTCATTATTACGCATTGGTCAAAGACGAAACGGACTGGTTTAAGTTTGACGATAGTCGTGTCACTAAGTATTCTGGCGATGTCTTGAATTTATTGGAGCCTCTAGAGATACCCTACATTTTGTTTTATGAAAGAGTGGACATTGGCAGATCAAGATCTTCAGATGATGTGGTACTGCAGGTTTTTCCGAGTTTTCTTCCAGCTGAAAAAGCAAATGCGCCACTGGAATCAATGAAGTCGCCCCGGAGCGCCAATTAATTTTTGTTGTTTCATTTTTTATTGATTTGTATTACTTTCTTCTTCAATATACTGTTTGTTGATTGAAAAAAAATAATTGTATAATATTCAGAAATAGAATTTTAAATTTTTTTCGAAAGTATTTGTTTCAGTATCGAAAGATCCACCAGCTTGTTGATAATGAAACTCCCTTTCTCTTAGAATTTTGGTACCAGCTCTTGAAGAAATATAAATGAAAATTCACGGAACTGGTAAAGTAATGTGACCAATTATCCAAAAGTCTGAAGTCAGGTTCACAATCCATTTTGACTGTAATTTATCTAAAGGAAATAGTCGATACTTGATGAAATACCATAAAGAACGTATTTTAGAACAATTTATAGAGAAACTTTCACAAAACGATTATTGACACCGCAAAAGATTTTTCAAAAATTTAAGAAAATAAATTGAACAAATAGTATGTTTAGTTATTGACCAGAATTTACATAGTCTTGGATCTATTGATCTCTTCTCATCATAATTGTGATTGAACTCATGTTCCTTTACTAAAAGATGATTTGTAAATGTTGAATTCGTTTTCTCATTCTCATAGAATAAATAAAAGTGTAAGCAAATTCATTACTTTTCATTGTAAAATTGTCATTTTAGCATTGTCAAAAATTGACTCAACTCTCAAAATTGCCAAATAATTCCAGTAAGTATCGGGCAGCCAATGAAAGCAAGATGACAGAAACTGAAAAATATGGAAATTATGAAGTGAGCTATGACGACTGCCACGTAAAATATATTGGTAAGACTAAGTGAGCCACTGAAACTCGTTTCAAAGTTCACATTTTTCATATTGAATTTCTGACAGCAGAAATTCGGTATGAAATGTTGAGGCCGCTTCAACACCAGACTTCTGGATGCTCTCGCAGCATAAAAAAATGAATATGGCAAAACTTGAACAGTTTACAAATTTAGGTTTCAGTTAAGTTTGTAACAGATGATATTAGGTGATATCTCTTTCTCTTTTTCCTTAAATTAGTTTCTTCATCGAAGAATTTGTTGAAGACAAAGAATATAAAAAATAATGAAGTTTTTTTGGTGATAACTCGAAAATGAAATGAGCTCCCAAGCCTCTCTAGACTCTTTGTACTTTGAATTCTATAAAGGGGAATCGAAAAAATCTGTTTTTCAATTGGAAAAAAATATGGAATGAATATATATGACCTTTTTGTCATGAAAATGACAAGATATGGTCGCTCACCAGATCCTTTTATGGTGTTATCAACTAAGAAATAGATTATCATATCAGTGATAATTTTCTTGAAGGAAATTTTTACGGTGCGCGCGCACACCGTCACAAAAAACCGATACCCTGAAGTTAGCTTCTTCTTCTTCAATTCATACAGCCGTTGCTTCTCAGTCAAGCGCATTTGGCCAGGCTCTTCCTGTCCATAATGAACCAAAGCTTCGTCCGGGGGAGCCGCTGTCTTGGTCGAGGCAATGCTGCCACCCTGAGTTTTGTCATTCACGTTCTCTTTCATAAAATCTCTTCATTTTTTTACTAGGGACCGCCAGTCCACAAATAACACATCTTCAATCGCACTGACGACCTCGTCGAATCCGTCGACATCCATCCCGGTTACTGGTATAGGGGGCCGCAAGTCCTCTCAAAATGTCTTTTACGCCAACATTTTCTTGGAACTTTACTTTATTTTCTAGAAAACCCCTCACTTTTGGACTCCACTCCGATCACGACATCCACGTGCAATCTTTGAGGACGGTCGTTATCGGCACAAACCTCCTCGCGATCAGAGAGGAAGTTCTTGAAGTTAGCTAGTCAACATTTCAGTTTTTCAAAAAAGTCACCAACAGAGTAAAAGTAAAGACAACCTACGTATGTTTGCGTGAGAACTGGCAACTGTATTTACGATATTTTTTCAAGTGTTTTTGAACCCACAACGTTTTCTGTATCAGTTCGAATGAGATATATAAATCTACATAAATATACATTTTTCAATAATATATTGTGGTGACTAATATTAATCAACAATTTATTGATTCAAGCTAATTTACTGTGATTATAAGTGATAAAAGTGGTTTTAACCTATAACTTTAAGTATGTTTATAGAATTTGATGTTAGTTAACGGTGTATATTATTTATTCACATCATAAACTAAAATGAATTTTCACATTATTATTCAATATGTAATAAGCGTACAAATAAATTGATAAAAATATCAATAAATAAAAATAATAATTACTAATGTCCGGAAAAATCAAATTAACGTCAATTGGGATGACTTTGTCCTCTGGGGTACCTTTGCCTAGTTTTGAAAAAACAGTTTCGCGCCTCCATAGTAAATAGCTGAAAGGTCGTTAGAGGCGCTGCAGTCAATGAAACATACCTACTCAATGACATCGAGATATTCTATAGTTTTTAGGTCGTTCCAGATAAGTGCTATCACCAATTAACTGTTTTATTTGTAATGTGTGTTATCTATGAACATTTGATCTCCTCAAAATAACATATACACAGCTGCTACGAAAACAAGGCGAGTTTCATCACTTATTATTATTAGTAAACGTAATGGAGAATTTAATCCACTTGCAATTTCGTTTCTGCACCCAACCTCTTGATTGATATTCGAGTAGGCAATGTCACCCCACGTTTTGCACGAAAATGGGAATCACTTTGCCCACCTTTCATTGAAAGGGTTACATTGTAATTTTAGTTTTTTTTACTTTCACATCCTTCACGTAGAGGGAGCATTGAAATCACCAAAAAATACGACTTATTTTGTCCACAATTTTTTTTAAACTTTTATGTCGTTCATAACACTTCTGTTGACAGTCCTGGCAACTGTACTAGTTATTTTCGATTTTTTGTGCAATTTTTGTCTTTACTGTGGCTCTTGTAACACCCTGAGGCGGTGGCTTTGGCCATCTTTTATTTATAGCTTTTTTATGCAAAGAAAACATATGTTGGGCATAGTGACCCCACTTCACGAGGTGACTTTGCCCACTCATATTTGATTTTTTATT